ACCTAATGGCACACAACATGTTAAAGTCACTGGGGTGGAAAATATAATCATTCCGTTTTTATTGCCTTTAAAAACTGTATTCCTCATGCTTTGATAACAGATTACGTAAGATGCAGATTCTAGTTTTTTCCTTCTCTCACTACAACTTCGTTTCTGTTGTCATTTTCCTCCTTTTCTCTCCATCCCTTTGTTTTCCTTCTTTCTCCTCGTTTTTTTCATCTGCTGTGACTATGAGGAAGCAGCTGTGCTCCACAGACAATTATATAACTCTGCGTGTGTGTGTGTGTGTGCGTGCATGTGGTGACACAGGAAGAATGGAAAGACAGACAAAGGGAGGATGAAGTGAGAAAGGATGAGAGAAAAAAAAGAGGTCTTCCCTTTCCTGACTCCTAACTTACACATGTGTTTGTTCGTCGCTGCTCATTCATTGTGTCTTCTTGCTGTTTTCCTTCGTTCTCATTCTTTCCTGCACTGGTTCCCTCACTGCCACACTCCTGCCATCCAGAGTTACTGGGCTGTGAAATGTAAAAAACTGCAGCATGCATAGCAATTTATTATCTTGTCAAACTTCCCCGGTCTAGCGTCATGCCATGCATAGGGAGGAGGGAGGCGACTGGGGAGTGAGGGGGGAGTAAAAGAGGGCGAGAGGGAGAAAACAGTGAGAAACAGAGAGAAAAAGAGATGAAAACCAATTTATCCAGCGGTCCATGTAGTGGGTTAACGGGGTTACCAAAGGGTGAGGGTTCTGCCAGAGTGGCCGCTATAATCACCTTTTCTTCTTCTTTTTTTACTTTAAGCATCATTTTTAAAATCCTATTAGTGTAAGAAAGGAAAATAAATGATGGAGACGTGAGGTCTGAGATAACCATTAAACACACGGCGCAGATTTAACAGGCGAATGTCTGTGTCTTTGTCAAAGACAGTGTGCAGTGGTCACTGGGAAAAGAAGTGCTCATTTCACCCAGTTACATTTCATATCACACATATATTAGGTTGACTTTAGGATTAAATCAGACCAAGAAATGTAAAACTAACTACAACAACAGCTAACTAACATCTCACTAACTGGCTGCACTCTCCTATACTTGAAAGTCTCTTTCAGTTTTTTTTTTCTTTGTAAATCAAGTAAACAAGTCTCTCCATGCAGTCGTTGGTCAGATTTTAAGCCTATTATTTGGGATTAACCTGTTTACATGACTGGTTTTATCAGATTAAAGCTTTTAAATCCAAATACCATCTTATTAAGGAGTTTAATTACATACGGTTGAAGTGGAGACATCTGAAATGTCAGACTTGCCGGGATGAATATTTAAAGCCAAGTCCAACTTCCACAATGGAGAAACTTAGACATTTAACGGCGTCTAACTCGATCCTCCTTGTTGTGGAAAAATGGCAATGACTCTTACAATTCTGAGCTCTTCTTCTGTGGAAACACTGAGACAAGGACAGAAATAGATGGTGTGCTTGATTCTTTGCTATTGTGAACGGAGGCTGCAGTAGATATAACGCTGACAAAATGCACACTTGAGAAAAAGGCAGGGCTGCACTGGCTGCAGAGCTGCTGTACCGACACCACAGCAAATAAATCCATCAGGCTGCAAACAGCTACAGACACACAGAGCATGTAAATCAAGGGATGAGGGAGATAGAGTTTCAAAATGTAATCCTCGCTTTCATTTTTTACCTTAATCATCCTTCTGTTTTCAAAGTCTTTTCAAAGGTTTTTTTTTTTTTTTGGCCAGGCTGTGCTTTGAAATTTAAGGATTAGGTCTAATTGGAAAGTCTCTGTTTGGACACGACTCCAGACACACATAAATCTCCAAAGCCATACACAACAGTCCAAAACTGCGTGGATTTAGCAATTAGACACCCGACGTGGACTTGCAGAATCGAAAAAAACACGACTGAAAGGCAGGTGAGAGTCAGATGAAAAGATTCTGCTCGTTTAGCCGTGATGGAAGGGACTGGCTGAGAGAAGCCCTGGCCAGGGAAGACCAAAGACCAGGAGCGGGAAGTAGGGAAGAGCGAGGAAAAGAGAAATCTGGTTGTTTGTGTAAATGTGAAATATATGCATCTGTGTGTGGGTGTGTGTGTGTATTTCTCTGTCAGTCTGACAGCAAACGGCCAATTACTGTCGAAAGTGGCAGGATGAGTCCTGCCAGACCATAGCTTTCCATTACTGCATGCCACTCTGTGTGGGTGTTAGTGTGTGAGTGAGTGTGTGTGTATGTTAGGGGGGGCAGAGAGAGAGAGAGAGAGAGAGGGGAGATGAAGAAAGAAAAGACAAAAAAGTATGATCCTCGTGTGTGTGTGTAATACAAAGATAGAGAGAGGAAGTGTGTGTCTGTCTGTGATGAGGAAGGGAGAGTGAGGTAGAGAGAGAAAGAGGGGATGGAGAAAGAAGAGACAAAGTAGGAAACATGTAGCTCATCCTGCTGCATCGTCATGTGTGTGTGTGTGTGTGTGTGTGTGTGTGTGTCCTTCCACTCCTACAGTTCTTCAAATTGTTACTGTTCAGCAGACCGGTCTCAAACCTGAAGCCCGTGGAACCACTGCGGCCCACTGCCTGTACTCAGTGACACTGACCACAGAGCTCTACATACGTATGGTTGATGTAGACCACTGCTTAAAAAAAAAACAAAAAAACAAGAACAAGCCCACCAGGGGTAAAGTTTAGCCTGTGAGGTCACCACCGTTTATGGGCAACTCCACATGAACTGCAAAATTCCCTTTGTGTAAATGCACGTGTGTTGTTAAAGACAAGATGAATGATTACAGAGGGTTTAGGTGAGAAGTTGTCACTTTTTCAAAAAAAAATTTCACTGCAGAGTAATGAGCAAAAACACAGATGGAATGATTTTACTTTTTTTTTTTTTTTTACTTTTTCAAATCCTAAACAAATGTGTCTGCCTTTATTTTTCAGAAGCAGAGATGACAGTTGTCTGGCTCCAAGCAACTGACTAAAATGACTGTAAATAGATTATGACTTTGTGAATAGTTCTATTTTGTAGTTTTTTCAACCAGTCCTTGCTACACAACGTACACAAAGACGTTGTAGTGAACTCTGTACCAGGCCTTCTATGAGGAATCTTTTAATTATATTTCCATGTAGACGAATTAATAATGAAATGGATATATTAAAACACAACAACATAACAGAAAAGCCACCCCATCACAACCTCTTAAATCGCTTCCATTTGCCATTAATTGCCCCCAGTTGCTGCCACGGTAACATGTAGTGCCATTAGAGTAAGTCACACAAATGAGCTGAAATGATTCACTTTTGTCTTTGTTACAATGGCTTTCTTTTAACCCCCCCATTTATAAACTGCTGTGGAAAAGGAGACACAGTAGAATCTGAAACTCTGAAGATAGATCTTCTCGATCAATTAGCAATATGATCACAAAAAAGGAGGGGGGGAGGTGAGGGGGGGTAAAACTGCTGTATTGACTAAAAATAGGACAAAGCAGAGCAGATTTGTGTCAGTAAGACAGTAAGGGAGGAAAACTGAAGCCTGGTCTTCATTCAGGACTCCTGTAATATTAACACACACACACACACAGGATCCAACTCCCCTCCTGGGAGCACGATGGATCAGGCCAGCACTATCAAAGAAGATTTGGTTTCATGGATGGACTCACACGGAGGCTTTAATTAGAAGAAAAAATGAAGATACACTCAAGATTGTAGTGAGGTATGGACTAAGGATGGCCTGATGTGGTCCCCCGAGTGAAATGACAGTGGCAGCAGTGCCCCCTCCCCATCTGATTTGAGTTCGAGACCCCTGCCTTAAAGGGAAAGATCATTTATTCTGAATCAACTCTCTTTACTGAAGTTACCTTCAAAACTATAACATGAACGTCAGGAAAACTACCCACAAAGCACTGTTTTCATTCATATCACTTGATAGTTTTACAAACTAACAACATGTCGGTTCTTTTTGTTAGAAATAAACGCCAGGAAACAGTTTGTGGGCCTTCATACAGGGACAGGATGTTCTTTAGTGGGTGACAATACATAATTCAGCCGGATAGTCTCCAAACAAACAGTGGCAGATATGGATATATTATTTAAGAACATGTCAGGGGCCGTTAGTGTCCATTTTTTCTCTCTCTCTCTTTCTATGTCGCTCTCTCACTCCGTGTGTTTGCGTGCGTGCGTGCGCGCGCGCCCGCTTCAGACCCTTCACACTACAGACACCATCACGCTCCAGGAACCAAACAAATTCTACACCATCAGCTCCGACTGATTTTTTTTTTAAATATCACTCCATCACTGCCAGTTACACCGAATGACAGGATGGAGTCGATATGAAATGACTCACAGCAGCCTCAGCCTGATGGAAAGTTACTGGAAAAGCACTATTACCTACATCAAGCCCACAGACCCCGTTCAACCCTTCTACAAAGTCGTCTTTTGATTGGTAGTTTTTTTTTTACTTTTTTAAATCATATTTTTTCTTAGTTTTATCTTATTACCTCTTGTTTCTTTTGATGGAAAAATAAAGGTTTTTAAATGCATCTGTAGAATTCTATGTTTTTGGTGCACTTAAGAAACCAAAGGAGCGAGTGCGTATAAACCAAAGTGGTTTTTTGCGCATTTTAAAATGCGTTTTGTCCATTAGTGCGTAATGCTGTGTGTCTGTATCTCCCTCTCCTCACTCCCCCTCCCTCTTTCTCTCTGTGTGTTCCTATGTGTGTGTGTGTGCGTGTTTTCTCCTGTCAGCGGACCTCGCCGTGCGCCATGTGAGCCAGAGAGGGAGAAAAAAAACGCAACTCCACGGGGCTGCTGCTGCTGAGCGCTGCTCCCGAGCGCACCACTGATGCAAAACAACACAATCACACACACCAAAGGGAACAAGAATAAAACCGAAACTTCAGCGAGTATCCAGCAGCACACGCACATGACATTTGACTACAGTTTTAACCACTTCAGTTTGCAGGAAAATAAGAGAGAGGGAGGGAGAGAGAGAGAGAGAGAGAAATGCATCATAGCTGACCTGCTGCCAGTTCTCCTCCAGGGAAGGCATCGCAGAGAAATAACCAGTGTCGTGCACGAGTTGGAGTTCCTGGAAAATACTGTAATTCGCCAACACATCCATGTTTGATGCAGAAGTGGAAAAGTCAGTGAAGTCCGGAATCCAAAGGATGAAGACGCACTTGTGTGTTTTCTCTCTCTTCTTCTCTCAGAATAATTTCAAAAACAAATGCTGGGGGAAGCCCAGCTGGCGCAGAAGAGCGCACCTGAGCACTCGAATTCTACAAAAAGGCAGCTAAAAATTTCAAAGAGGAAAGAAAGAGTTTGATTTTTTATTAGTATTTTTATTTCTACTCAAGCTGGTTCCTCGCATCTACGCGCTCTCTGTCACGCTTCTCTTCTCAGTCCGATCGCGGGGGTGCCAGATCTATTTCCGCATTGCCAGATTGCCAGTCGCTCTCCGTACGAGCTGCCAGGTTGCCAGGTTTGCTCCACCAGCAGCAGCAGACTGGACCCCGCTGCAATCCAGGCGACCGGCGAGAGAGGGGAGGGAAGAAAGGGGCGGCGCTAGCTGTCAATCAATTTCATGCGTGACCGTATAAGGTAAATAGGGTTGGTGATGTCACTGGGATCCAATTAAAGGGGCGTTGCGACGTACTGCGTGGGCGGAGGAATGGACGTTGGAGAGCAGCGATTGGCTGCAGGGCGCTGTCAGTCCGGCCCATAGATGGCAGTGTGGGGTGAGTTATTTTTAGAGGCCTATATAAAACCTGCAGCATTCCTGTTTCAGTCAGTAGAAGCTGCACAGTCAGAGAGGAGAGACGTAACACAAGCTGCCTCTCGTGATGTTACCAGAAAACAGTGGAGAAAAAAAAAAGAGATTAAAACCAGAGTATGAGTCTGCAGAAACAATCAGCTGAGCATCTCAGTTGACCAACGTCCATTTGCTGTTTTTCTGTTTTCCTGTTTTGTGTCAGCGTCACAGCAGAAACTCCTTCCATGTGGTTTTCATGTAGTGATGAGTGTATGCAGGGCAGGGATTCAGTGGAGAGGAACAGAAGAGAGAGAGAAGAGCTCAGATTAATCCACCCACCTGTTCAGTGTAGGACAGTCTATCCCCTTTTCCACATTTACTCCCCCACCAGACTAGAAAGTCTTTCTTCCTCATTCTGGTCTTGGGACCTGGGTGAAGTAAGAACACAGGGTTTAAAACCAAACAACGAAACTCAGCTGTAGTGGACTTTGTAAAGTCTAAGCCACCAAAATAACAATCATAGTAAACACTGAATAAATGAAAAATAAAAAGATTTCAGGGTGTAAACTCAACTAAGGCCGATGTAAAACAATATCTGTATTTTTATAATCAACACCAGCAGGGGGAGCAGACAGAACCAGATATAGTTATCCAGTTCCAAAGTATGGCTCATGGTAAATCCCCTGATAGAGGAAGACGCTTTGTTTTAACATGAGTGCTAAGTTCTTTAGTAAATTATATTTTTGTTAATAATTTTCTCAGTTAAAGGAACATAACAAAACAAAGGACAGACCAACTATCAAATATTAGCCTTTCACATGATCTACCTGATTGTGCTTTATCTCCTTTTTCTGTTAAACAGGATCAAATTGTGCAAACCCTTCAGAAATCGATTAACGGTTCAGCTCACAGTTGCCAAATTTCCCTAACTGGTTTAGGAGCTTCTGTGCATGTGGTTAAATTTAATTCTTAACAATTGGTCACAGTGATTTTTTCGGGGATAGGAGAAAAAATGTACTGGGTTTTTTAGGTTGTAAATGAGATGCGCTGAATCACATCCAGTGAATAAAAGCAAGAGTCCTTTTATCAGACCCAAATTATCTTTCTTTTCTACTACCCCTTGTTCTATAATCAGATTAAGATGGATAGAGGGTTGATCTGCAGCTTATCCTCTTAAGTGCTGCAAGGAGGTTAAATAAAAATCTTTTTTTTTTTTTTGGTATGCTCCATATTCATAAGATTTCAGAAAACTGTTCATAACTGCAGATTTTTTTTTTCATAGATTACTAGTTTGGTACGTTTGGTATGGAAAAAAAATCAGTGACAAAACACCTGTATTGTAGAAAGTTTACACAGCGAAGTAGCTGTGTCGCTCTGGAGCGCCATCATCAGTGATGACAATGACTCCCAGTGCACTGAATATTTTGTGGGGCGACTGCAGCTTGTGTTTGTTTCAAACGTGACAGATTAAAAACAGACGTGCTGCAATTGTCGGCCACATCTGTAACAGACACATGTTGGCCAGGCCGAGGCAAGTGTCTTACTGGTTTTCAGCACACGCTCTAATGTGGTACAAGAATGTTAATAGAGTTTAGAGGCTAACCAAATCGAACTAGACTCATTTTGCCAACAGACAACAACTGACCCAAAGCTTTCCAGCTGAACCGTGAATGTGAAGAATGTACTGAGATGTAAACCACAATCCACAGCAAGTGGCAGCCCACCATGATGTCACCGAGTGATTTTCTATTGCAGTGTTAAAGTCATGTGTGAACTATATGGACGTTTGTTGCAGTGGTTTTTAAATAAAGAAAAAGAAGAACCTACTGGACCATTAGGTCACAGAGGTCAATGAACTAGAACAGGGGTTCTTAACCTTTTGTAGTGCAAAATGGTCCATGGCCATTAAATGTTTGATTTAATTTGTTGGGATTGTACCAATGGAAAAATGTGGGGGTCAGGGGTCAGTATGACGTTCGGCTTCATCTTCTTATTTTAGAAACGTCTCCATACTTTTTTGCTACAGCTAGCGTAGAGAAGACAATCTTCTTCTCTATATAATGGAGATTGTAAAAGAACTGACTGATCCATTACCACCACCATGTGGTCAAAATATGCATTGTAACTGAGAAATTGCCCCTTAAATAAAGTCCTTTGTGGCAGAAAAGGCCAAGTCGTAAAACGATTTTATACCTCAATCGAAAACCACTAAAAATTCCATTAAAAACAAGGCCTTGTAAAAATCTGTGCAAGAACGACATTTGGTCCCTAGGCCAGAGTTTGAACATGCCAATAGTTCAGGTTATGGGACTTTTGTCCGCACTTTCCTCTCTCCTAATACCACACCCATTTCATACACCCTCTATGATCACATTAATGGCGTGATGTTCCTTATGGTGAACTTGTTTAATCATTATGTAATCTCATATTTATTGGCGCCCCTAGAACTGTAACCTCTTTTTGAAGAGCAACCCGAGTGCTGGTGTCAGCATGTACAGAAGTAAGTAAATCATTTAATGTGACCCGAGTATTGCAGAGTTGAGATTCACCACTTCCATGAGTGAGTGAAGCTGATGAGCAGACAGATAGCAGGCGTCCGCTGGGTTGTTATAGAGACCATAAACCCTTTTAAAGGATCAGATGGCTCTAATAATTTGCAGCAGCAGGCTCTGAAAATGTTTGACTGCTGCTCAGTTGTACTAACTGGATTGGTGGACTGGGTTTGACGCATACGCTTTCACACACACACACACACACACACACATTTGTGCAGCTATTCTTGTTAGGACACCGTGCCATATATTCAACCTTTATTTTAACCAAAAATGTTTAACCATAATTTTAATCCAACTACCTTGGAATCACAGTCTTAAATAAGATAAGATGTTTATGTTGCTGAACCACGACTCTAAGGCCAGACTTTCACTGTTTCCAACAAACCACCACATCTTAAAGAAACATTATCCTAAAAAGAATAGTTCATTCTAAACCCCTAAACGTTGCTAACCTTTTAAGAAAGAACCGTGTTCCACATGAAACCACTGGTTCTGACAAGTGCTGTATTTCAACCACAGAGCACTAGGACCTTTTAGTAATGGATCATTTTACAAGGAACAAATAGTGCATTCCATTGGTGCTCTCTCTCTCTCTCTCTCTCTCTCTCTCTCCATTTAGGCTCTGTTTTGTTGCCATGCGGTACCTGTAGCGCAAGCTAAAAAAGCTAGCCAAAACCAACATCTTTGCATGTTGTTCCACCTGAACCACCTGCAGTCACGTGTTTAGAAAGGGCACCAGGTTACAAGCATTCGCTAACCTTTTATGTAGCAGTTACTCATTCTGACCACTAGTTGATGGACTTTGAATTATTTCACCGTCACAGAATGGTCAGTCAGTGTGCAGTCAGTTCCTCTTAATACTACATCTTATCTCTGGACCAGAGGTTTCTTTAACATCCAGGAAACACCCCACAGCAGCACACCAGATCTCATGTCCTGCTTATCTTTTCTCTCTCTCTTTTTTTAATCACAACCTCTCCTACCAACAGAGTTACAACCCTTTTGGACACAGTTCCTCTTTGCCTCCGGCGCCGATGGTGTGACTGACACAAAACACAGTGCACATCCAGTTACACTTGCAAATTACGTTAATTGATTTAATGAGGCTGCAAGAATTAAAGGTCAAAATTTGTAACTCAAATGTGATGTCTGGGACAAGGATGGTCTAATTGAACCAAACCTGCACAGTAATGCACTTTTAGGTGAAACTGCTCTACTGCCGGTCCAACTTTGATAAAAGCTGACAGCAGAACATTAGAAAAAAACAGCTAAATAAAATACAGCATTTAGACATTAAAAAAAACATCAGACAAACTGAGGTCATATCGTACTAATGGGTTTTTAAGATACAGATAAAAAATAATAAATCTGGATGTCGATCTGGTCCATCCGTCTTCTTGTTATATAACAGTCTCATGATTTGTGGCTACATGGAGGATTTGCATGTTACTTTGTTAACATACTACATGCTTTATGGCATATGCCTGTAACCCTTCCACTCCCCCTTCAACTTACTCTGCATTTGTCTCATCCCTTGAGGGGATGCACTGCCTGTCTCTGGAGGACCACAGGAGCCAGATGGCTTCTTCTGGATCGGTCGTTTCACAACATTTTCCCCATTGATTTTTACAGCTCAGTCTGCCACTGGAGGAGGAGGAGGGACGAAGGAGCGGGGAGGAGGAAAGAAGGCAGCAGCAGACAGGAGGAAAGAGAGAGAGAGAGAGACACAGAGAGACCTATGGATCAATACTGGATGCTTATAAGCCCCTTAACAGATTCACATGCAGCATCTTGGTGTGATTTAATATCAGACAATGGTTTTAAAAGAATCATCATTATTTCAGTCTGAATGCTGGTGGAAAAATGACACTTTGAGAGCATTTACTTATACATTCAATATTATTCTATCATTTATAAAGAGGGCGGCAAACATTGACGAACACTTAGGTGTAAATGTGTCAGATCGTGACTTCAATTTATCCATTAGTATGAAAAAGGTTACTGATAAAAAAAAGGTTCCATTATTCTACTACCATTCTTCTACAGACACAGTCACATTCCTGTCAAGAGTAGATGGTCCAATTACCCTCTACCACTCTGCATGTACCACTACTCCTACTAGTACTACTTTGATCATGCCCGTGGAGACAGTTACTCCTACTGTTTCAGCTATAACAGGGGATGTAACTACCAGTCATTAAATATACAGCATGTTTCTCCTACATCTCCCATTCATACCTCTGATAGTATAAAAATACTTCTCCTTTCACCAGTATTAATAATTCCTTCAGAAATGCTCTTTATGATTAAAACCGTCTAATGCAACCAATGGCAACACTCGCTGGTGGAGTCGACTCTTTGCTGCTGGCTCTGCTCTTAGATGCTGCCTGAACCAGAAATGCATGTGCTTAGCTAAACAAGGGGCGAGCTGCAGAAATCCCTCTGTTCAACTTTGAGCCTGTTTGGACTCATAACCACAGCACGCAACAAAGCACAGGCGTGTTCACGATTTCAGGTCAAATAATAAAGGAAATGAATCCGCAACAGTAGTCTGTGATTCACATAAAGTACAAATGAAATGAAACAGAGTCAGAAGAAACAAAAGTTAAAACAGTGGGAGGGGAAACACATGGAATTTTGGATCCTCTAACAGTGGGTTGAATGCAGTGTCATCACATTTTTTGTAAATACACAGCTTTACAAGCACGGCGGCCTCAGTGCAACAAGGATCAGTGAGTCAAGTGTTGTGTTTAAACAGACTGGGGG